TTCTTGTATTTGGATTGTTCATTTATCCCCTATCGTGTTTATATTGTCTCATATTTATTTTCCCTTAGTTTAATATCCTTGCTCATATAAGTTGTTGTATATCATACTCGCTAGGATATTTGCTAATAAATTTTTAAGGATAAATTTTCAAAATCAACCTTTTTACCATTTTTATCAGCAAAACCGACCCTTTTTTTGAAAAGGGTCAGTTTTACTGGCGGGAAAATTTAACAAAATACACAGGACTGCTAGTCCCATGTATTTCGACCCTGCTTTGAATTGCACGGGACTAGCAGTCCCGTGCAATGGATTCGTACCCTCATTTACTTCACCCGTGACTCCTCAACCCTATTTCTTTCATCAGTCAAACCCATTCAACCCCATTTCTTTCACCCGTCAAACTCCTCAACCCCATTTCTGTCTCAACGCCGCCGACCCCCGATGCTGACCAAGCAAGCTCTGACCACCGCTACCGCCGACCAAGCAAGCTCCGACCACCGTCGCCGACCAAGGTAATGGTGTTTTTTGTTATTAATTTTGTTTAGCCATGAAATTTCTTTTTTAGTTAAGATTTGGGATTATGGTTGAGATTTAGGAATGGATTTAATTGAGATTTAGGATTAGGGTTGAGATTTGGGAATGTATTTAGTTAAGATTAGGGAATGTATTTAGTTGAAATTTGACTTTAAATTAAGATTAATATTTCTAGTTATAATAGATTATTTACATATGATGGACTGTTGATTTTTAATTTCGATAGCAAACTCTATACCCATTATTTGCTTCTTCAATAGGAGCCTCGGTGTCGGATTGAATAGTATGCCGATGTATGAGGGAGGTTATAGAAAAATGTTTATGTTATCTAAGTCATTCAATTTTGATGGAATGATGAATAAAATACACAGAGTTACGAAAATTAATAAAGCAGAGTATGCAATTAAAGTGTTCTTCAATTGTCCGACAAATGAGAGTAGAACTATTGCTGTGGAGATTACCGACGATGAGGAATTGAATGACATGAAATAATTAGTGGAGAAGTAAGTGTCAGTTGAGTTGTTCATTGAGAAGTATCCGATTCAAGAATTTAGCCAAGTTTCACGACCTCAAGGAGAGTTTTCTCGGATGTTGGACATTGACAATGAGTCGAGTGGTTTTATGACATCTCCAAGTCAAGAGCCGTGGTTTCAACTACAACATTTAAGTGGGCATTCTCTTGGTGGGATGCCAAGTACTATATTTAACGACGCATCGGGCTATGTTACGGGTGATCTACCGGCCGAATCAATTGTAGAAGAAGAAGTAAATAATGACTAAGAAGATATTGAAGAAGAAGGCGTGTAAATTGATAGCATGCATGTGGCAGTTGGAATCGATGATGATTCTCGTTGGATGGAACAATTTAATGTTAACAATGATTATGTGGAAGCTGAAGATCTGTTGCCCGATGAGTTTCATAATAAAGATTGGATAAATACTTCGCAAGCTGAATTTGTTGATGTTGGTCCAAATTTTTAACGGCCTAAGGACTTTAATTTTTAAAAAGGGGACCTATTCGAGAGCAAGGAAGCATTGATCTTTGCTATCGGAGAATGGTCTATCAAAAATCGGATCAAATTTAAGCCTGTAAAAACTAATGCAACCAACTAGTATGTAAAATGTTATTTCAATGAGAAGAATGAAGTAGAGCATGCAAATGAGCAAGATGAGAGAAATAGGAAATGTCATTGGTTGCTAAATGCCGCTGTAAGGAAATCATCAAATGGGCAATTTATAATATCTAGATATTGTGGGCTTCATACATGTTGCAATCCGTCGGTGGATGTCAATGATTATTTTGCATCTTTCTCTTATATGTAAGCTAACCATGCCTGAAGTTAGAGCTAAACTTGATCTAAATATAGATCAGATATTTCAAAGGGTATATGATATGCGGGGCATTAAGATATCTAAATATAAGGCATATGATGCAAGGAGAAAAGCGTTGTCTAAAATATTTAGAGATTGGGAAAAATCTTATGAATCACTTCCACAGTATCTTGAAGCTATCAAGCAAAATAATCTTGGTACTGAATATGAAATATTGTCTGAAGAGATTGCACCGGGGATTGAGAGGTTCACTTGAGTATTTTGGGTATTTGGTCCCGCTATTAAAGGCTTCACTTTTTGTCATCCGTTTTTAAGCATTTATGGCAAGTACAAAGGTGTGCTTCTTGTGGTGACCGATGTAGATGCAAATGGCGGTTTATTTCCTCTAGCATTTGTAGTTATGGAGGTAGAGGATACTTCTAGTTGGAAGTGGTTCTTTGAATTTATATACAAGTGGAATCCTAGTATTCGTGAGCCCAGATTAATTACTTTCATCTTGGATAGGATGAAAGGAATTATAAGGGCATTACATGAGGGTTTTGGTCCACCATATCACTATCGATATTGTTTAAGGCATATAAGAGATAATTTTAAGAAAAAACACGGTGAGATTAATTTGCAAAATCTTTGTGGCAAGCTGAGTGTGCAACCGATACATTAGTGTATGAACATTATAGAGAGAAAATCAAGTCTTTGTCATTAGATGCACATAATTAGATTGAACATAACTTGAAGCCTCAATTCGAGCATCGATGGGCATTATGTAAGGATGAGGGTGTGCGGTTTTGTATGATGACAACTAATTGCTCCGAGAGCTTTAACGGCATTCTTAAAGGAGCACGAGCTATGCCAATACAATCATTGGTTGCAAGAATGTTCTATAGGCTAAACTCATACTTCAACAAAAGGCGTGAGGATGGCGTAGATTGGACAACGCGTTACACACCCAAAAATGAGTCTATTTTGCATAGAAGAATTAAGGCGACAAGATTATATCAAATTACTGTGTTCAATGACAATGAATGGAAGGTATAGGATTATGACGGTATCTACATCGTTAAACTGTTTGATGTTGATTGCACTTGCACATGTAACATACCACAACTCCAAAAAATACATTGTGCACATGTTCTTGCGGCTTTTTCCAATCAGCCTGGTGGTGTGAGAATTCCATATAATCGGTATTGTTCACTATGGTATTCAACAATTCATTACCGAAAGATATACAGTGAGAGTTTTCATCCACCCGATGATAGTCGGTATTGGCCTGAATATACTAGACCATGAATAATTCCACCTCAATACAAGAGACAAGCAGGTCGACCACGATCTGTGCGAATTAGGGGAACAATGGATCAAGGACGAGAAGGAATTGTCAAGCATAAAAAATATAGTCTTTGCAAACAACCGGGATATACTCGACCTCATTGTTCAGCTAGACCCAACAGATAGCAATTAAAATTGGTAATAATTGACATATTCAAATTGTGATTTTAATATAAAAACTGTAGTTATTAATTCGTGGATTGGTTATTGATATGTTATAATTGTATGTGCAGGTATATACACCATGCAGCCTGGACCGGTTAGTGATAAGGTTCTATATGACTAGCCTCAACACCGTTCACATGTTATATCCTTTACAGAGGTAACTAAGTTTCTTATATTTTTGATATTGCATTCTTATATATTCATTTGCTTTATAGATAGGCCCAAATATTGTTATGGTTGATCATAGCCTCGGCCATAGCCGTTGGCATCTAGAGGATGAGTGCATAATAGTAGTTGTAGGACGGGCCGGCTTCTTGACATATTTGCGGCTTTGTTGGATGAGGCTCGATTGGCCCCTACTAACTGCTTTGATAGATAGGTGGAGGCCGGAGACTAATATTTTCCACTTCCGAATGGGAGAGTCTACTATTACGCTACAGGATATAGCTATGATACTTGGTCTCTGCATAGATGGTCCTTGCGTTACCGGCAGTGATAGACATTTTTGACCGAACAAGTGTGCAGAGTTGTTAGGTGTAGCTCTAGAGTCAATGCTTGGAGGAAACATTAAATTGAAGTGTCTAAAAGAGACCTTCTCGGGGCCATTGCCTTTTGATGTGCCACCAATATTAATTGAGCAACATGCACGTGCATACATTATATACATGATCGGTTCAATATTATTTCCAGATTCGAGTAAAGATAAAGTGCATGCCAGGTATCATTTTTATCAGTATTTACAATTATGCCTATTGAATTAGCTTATTTTGATAACTTGAAATGTTGTAAAAATGCTAGGTGGTTACCACTTATCGGGGACTTGGACATGTGTGGTGCGTTATCGTGGGGTAGTGCGATTTTGGCATACCTATATAGAGAGATGTCCAAAGTTGCATTCATGAAAAATAGTGACTTTAAAGGGTGTCTCAACTTACTGCAAGTATGGGCATGGGAGAGACTGCATTGAAGCCGAGACTATGCGTGAATTTACAATTAGACGGACAAATTCCACTGGGATGTAGGTATTATATTTTTTAACGTAGTAAATATAATTGTAGTTATTATTTTGGTACTGAATTTTAAAAATAACACAGATGGAATGTCCAAAAATGTTATGACGAGACCCCGGCTAGACAATTAGATTTCTACCGAAATGAGCTTCACCGCATGAAGATTTTTCAGGTATCATTTCTATAAAAATGAGTTTTTTCTTCTATATATCAACTTTCGTTTTATTGATATGCAACAATTATATGTAAAACTCTGTAGATGGAATGGGAGCCCTACACCCAATTTCTCAATCATCTACCCCCAATATGCACAGAATAACCAGTTATATGGAGAGCCAGAGTTCCTCTAATATGTTTCAAGATAGTAGAAATGCATGTACCGGACTGCGTACTTTGACAATTTGGTCTTGCACAACATGTTCTGGAATTTGTTGAAAAAATAAAGAGGAAGGCGAAGAAAGGAGGCCAACAAAAGGACTGGGCAGCTGAGCATCAAAATTATATACACAGATGGAATGATAGACATTTTTGTATTGTTGAGCAAATTGAGCCAACTCGACATTTTTGTATTGTTGAGCAAATTGAGCCAACTCCCCAGGAATCAGATTACTACACTTGGTATTGGATGATAACCAGAAGATGGATACTCCATGCGACCACATCCCCTGTTGAGTTGCGAAGAGGATATGTGCCTCGGGGTATAGATGAGAGAGAATTAGTAAGTATTTACAAATTTATTTTAAGTTCATTTTTATTAGTATTTTTCAATATTGCTAAATTGTGTTTTTTTAAAATCTGCAGGTATCAGCAATAGATGATGTTCAAACCATTGCAAATAGTGGCTTGGAATTGGCTCGAGCAAGTAATGTAGAATTAAATATGAAATTTACATATTGTAATTTAAAATTTAAAGTAATTTTTGCATTTCGGATTTTTTGGAATTATCTCTCGCAGGTACATATCCCGAAGCATGGAAACATGCATCAATATTTTAGTCGATAATGCAGAGGCTTCACCAAGCCTTACATCGAACTCATGAAGACCTTCATGATGGGAGAGAGGTAGCGCAATTAGTATACACACATCAACCACAACAAAGATGAGAACGACGCAGAAATGACAATGAAGCTGGGCCTTCCTAACGTGTTGACGACGGAGCTGGACCGTCACAACCACAAACACAACCGGATCATGAACTCATTAAAGGTCAGGATGGAGGAGGCCAAAGACAAAGGAGGAGGAGGAGAGTTCTTGGATGTATGTAAGCTAATCGTTATTATTATATAAATTACAATCCTATTTTGATATGTACATTACAAACGTATTTCGGGACAATGGATGGTTTTTGGATTTGTAGCCGAAACTGCGTGTGACTTATTGGATTTGTAAGTGGGTTTGTGGCGTGATTTGTTGGATTTGTATGAGTTTGTTGTGTATTTTATGATTTTTAGATTTGATATATGATTGTTGGTGGTGTATTGTATGAGTTTGTGGTGTATTGTATGAGGTTGTTGGAATTGACATGAAATATGAGTTTCTACAGGAAATAGCAACAATGCAGTAGAAAAACATGCACATGACACAGGAAATATACAGGACTGCTAGTCCCGTAAGTTTTATTATGGTCAAGAAGTGTACGAGACTAGCAGTCCCGTGCACTTGTTTTTTTGTTGAGAACACGAGACTAGCAGTCCCGTGTTTTAAGCAGAGGCAAGGAATCCATTGCCTTTGCTAAAAACATGGGACTACTAGTCCCATGCATTTTGAAGATAGATCGAAATACACGGAGCTAGCAGTCCTGTGTCTTTCGTAAAATCTCTCCGACAGCAAAACCCACCCTTTTCAGAAGAAAAGGGTCAGTTTTGCTGAATAATTTCATAAGAGGTTGGTTTTGCGTTATAAATTGGCAAAAGGGTTGATTTTAAAATTTTGTCCAATTTTTAATTACCATTAAATCGGATTAGATTAGCAATTTACCCTATTCACCCCCTTTAGGGTAATTTCAAAGGCCACCCCTACCTCCCAACTTACTAACCAGTCTTAGGAACAATCAATGAATTATTACTATATACAACTTGTATGTGAATAATTTTTTATCCAAGATACAAGGTATGTATTGTAGTAATTGAGCAAGAATTATCTTCAGCATACTCTGTAATACAATTCTACAAAAAAATTATGTTTCAATTTAGCGTGTTCGTAGAGTTATTTTTTTTTAAAGATTCATGCAACGTGATTGTATTTTTGGAATGTGATATTTTAAATGACAAAAATACGGTTATAGCAAGTTTATTTCATTGACAAAGATGACGACCTTGATGGCAAAGTTTATATGTATATACATGAAAAAGATTTCGTACATTACATAACTCATTGCTTCAATTATTTTTATGAATCTAAATATTGCTTTCTATATTTCAATGATTTTTTTTTGCAGAAAGAGAGTAAGCAAGACTTTGTTCTACTCCTCTATAGATAGGAGGTAAAGTTAGACATACAACCAATAGAAACAAAAACTTAAAAGGTTCAATGGTATCAATCTTCACAGACATTTTGCTTTTATCATATTGGTTTCTCTACTTTTTACTTATGTTTTTGTTCTTTTTTCTTGTTATTTGCAGATAAAGAAGGTGTTGGGGATTCGAAACAATCAAATCGAATCTGTGCCATTCCGGACCTTGTGTTTGAGAGTAGGAAAGTAGGAAAATCATCACAAATAAAAGATAAAAACTTGTAGAAAAGTAAACAAGAAAGAACACACCAGATTTAACAAGGTTCGACAACGTTCCTACGTCCTTGGGAGCCACACCACACAATTCTTTGATTAATTGAAGAAGATCACAATGCCCACAAATAGGTTTTTATCTCTTTGAGATCTCTCTGAAATAATCCTCTCAAAACCCTCTTTTTCTATTGCACATGAAACCTAAAAACGTTTAAGGTATATATAGAGTCCCAGCCTAAAACTAATTCCCAAAAGAATTTGGATTCTTGAAATCCTGACTCTGGTCGAACGGACATGCAAAGTCAGTCGATCGGCCAGAACGATGAATTCCGCAGGGTCTATCGTGCATGTTTCAGTCGACCGAACTTCTCATGTCGGTCGATTGACTAGAGTATTGATTTCTTCTCACTGTCCTGTAGGCATCGCGGTCGACTGGACCTCCTCTGTCGGTCGACAGACCAACGACTGGACTATTTTCTTCATCTTTTTTATTAAGTTTTTGGTCGATACAGTTAAACTAACAATCTCCCACTTGGAGACCAAAGCACTATCAACGAGCTCACCCAAACTCTTGCCTTCTACGCAAGCATCTTCTCTTACCCGGGTAAATCCATTCTTTAATCATCATCATCTCGGCGATCCCGACGATCCTCCTAGTGTGGCTCTGCCTTTGACTCCTACGTGTGAAGGCTAACTAAAGTTGCGCACAACTTCAGTTTCTCGATGGTCACTGCTTTCGTCAACATATCCGTAGGATTTTGACTCCCCAAAATTTTCTCTAGCTGTAACTTCCTGCCCTCATTCAGCGAGCGTATGAAATAGTATAGTACATCGATGTGCTTCATTCTGGCATGATATACTAGATTCTTGGCAAGGTGTATAGTGCTATGACTATCACAATAAAGAACTCTATTCCCCCCTTCAGATTCAACTCTTTCAGGCACCCGATCAACCAAATTATCTCCTTGCTGGCTTTAATCACTATGACATACTCTACCTCACTTGTGAACAATGTTACAATCTTCAGCAGATGTGAGAGCCAGCTTATTGTTGTCAATGCTAAGGTATAAACATACCCCATGATACTTCACCTTGTATCGTGATCATCGGTGAAATCTACATCCATGTATCCCTGTAGAACCAAATCATTTCTCCTGAAACATAGTGACTTTTTCGTAGTCCCTCTCAAGTGATGCAATATCTACTTCACGGCCTCCCAATATTGCTTCCCTTGATTGCTTACATACCTACTCACAACTCTCACTACATGAGCAATATCCAGCCTTATGCAAACTATCACGTACATAAGACTACCAATGGCTGATGAATATGACACTTTATTCATATGATCCTTCTCTGCATCTGTCTTGGGTGATTTCTCCTTAGATAATTTGAACTGACTTCTAAGAGGCGTGCTAATAACCTTAGCATTCTGCATGTTAAACATATGAAGTACATTCTCGATGTATTCAACTTGACTCAACTTCAATGTCCCTTCAGCTTCATCTCTACTGATTTGCATCCTAGGAATTTATTTCGCTGCACCCATATCCTTCATAGCAAAATCCTGTACCAACTGCTTTTTTAAGTTGTTTATCTCCTCTAAACACGATCCTACAACTAACATGTCATCAACATACAATAGTAACATGATATAGATGGACTCGAACCTCTTGAAGTAGCAACAATAGTTTGAATTGCATCTTCCATAGTCATTGCTCTGCATGAAGTCGTCAAACTTTTTATACCACTGTCTCGGAGCGTATTTCAAACCGTACAAGCTCTTCTTGAGCTTACACACCATCTCTTCCTTTCCTTCTTAATGAAGCCAATAGGTTACTTCATGTAGATTTTTTCATTCAAGTCACCATGAAGAAAGGCAGTCTTCACATCTAACTGCTCAAGGTAGAGATCTTCTGCAGCTACTAAGCTCAACACCACTCTGATGGTTGTAAGCTTCACAATGGGGAAAAATATCTTCGTATAATACACTCCTTCCTACTGTTGGAACCCCTTTACGACTAATCTGGCCTTATACCTCTTGTTTCCATCACTCTCCTATTTGACCCAATAGACCCATTTATTATGCAAGGCTTTCTTCTGTACGGGTAGCTAGGTTAACTCCCATGTCTTATTTGAGTGGAGAGAATCCATCTCTTCTTGTATCGTATGCTCTCACTGCTGAGATTCACTAACTTGCATAGCCTCCTCATAGCACTTCAGCTTTCCACTATCTGTTAAAATTAAGTAATCAAGTGATGAGAGATATCTGAGATTCGGTTTTGGTACCCTGAATGACCTCCTAAGTACCACGCCCTGAGTAGTAGCTTCTGCACTTGGAGTCTCCTCCGTTCTTCAATCAGAACTAGCACTATCTCCCCCATCTGGAAGTTCCTCCAAATCCATGTGCTCGGATGCATCTGTATCCTTAGTACTACTCCCACTGTTTTGGCTATCATTGGCATTGTCCCTATCCTTGTACATCATCTCCTCATTGAATATCACATCCCTGCTGCTAATGATCTTCCAGTTCTTCTCATCCTAAAGATGATACCCGAACTTATCATGCTATATCCAATGAATGTACACTTTTATGACTTAGCTTCTAAATTATCCCTGACATGGTCACTGATATGAATATATGCCACATAACCAAATACTCGCAAGTGTGAGAGATTGATCTTCTTACCACTCTAAACCTCCACTGGAATCTTGAAATTCAATGAATCTGATGGTCCATGATTAATCAAGTAACCTATCGTATGCACCACATCTGCCCAAAATATCTTAGGCAGTCCTGCATTTAATCGCATGCTCCTGACACGCTCCGTCAATATCCTGTTCATCCTTTCCGTTCTACTGCGGCGTCCCTGGAGTAGTCCTCTCCAAATGAATCCCGTTTAGAGCACATAACCTCTTGAACTCCTCCATCTTATATTCTCTACCGTTGTCTGATCTCAAACACTTCACCTTTATATCTGTCTCGTTCTCTATCATGGCCTTCAACTTCTTGAAGATTCCGAACACCTCTGACTTGTGCTTCATGAAGTATACCCACACCTTCCTTGAGTGATTGTCGATAAATGTGACATAATACGCTAAACCGCCAAGAGAAGACACACTAGCTGGGCCCCATATGTCTGTATGAACAAGCTCTAGCTTCTGAGCTTTAGGTGGTCGTCTAAAGGTGGTCGTCCACCCTTCTAAAAACTAACTCTATTATGCTTCCTGTAGATACAGTCCTCG